CTAAGCAACTGGATTGGGGCACATTCCCTGATATTTTTGTGTAAACAAAGCTGCAAGCAAGAATTTGCAGTGAGTGAAAAATGGGATTAATTTCTCCTTCATGTTGTGCCATCACTAAGCAACTGAATGGGAGCACACATCCTTCACGTTGGAAGGCTTTTGCATTATCTCTATTGGCCAATTAGATTTTGAAAAGAAACATGAGATGAACTTCTTCTTTTACTGCTCTCATAAACATATCGACAAAAAGAAGTGCAATTTTTGTCATATTTTGCCACAAAGAATAGTTTATAATAATACTAAATCAGCGAAGATATTTTTATGATGATAACATCCATATGAAATTGCACTACAAAGGGGCATATATTTCTTTATATTGATATCCAGTTTCTATCAAACAACGGACATGATAGGTTATAAAATAATCCAACTTTAAATCCATAGTTCACCAAACAATAGATATAATATGACAAAATCCCAGAATTTCTTATCATATCCAATCCAGTCATATCTAATTAAAAATCCAAACACCCAAACGCAGCCTTATTGGACAAATTTGCAAAATCGGAAGGGGAAATTACCCTAGAGGAGCATACCGTCTTTCTCCTTTGCTGGTTTTCACGGCATGTATTTTGTCATCCTTCTATGATTGTATCTCATGAATTTATAAACATTGCTTACGCCCTCTCTCATGGCTTAAACATTAGTTTGGAGCGCATAGTTCTGGCTACTCTTTATAGGTCTCTGTCCAATACACAAACTTCTCTTTGCAATGCGCATCCCGATCTCTTTTTTTGGTCCATTATGGCTTCTCCTTGGCTGGGTACGATTATATTCTCCCGACTTATTTGGTAATCCAATACCCCCTACCCAGTGAAGTGAAATCCATTTTCGAGCGTCTAAAAGGGATCCAGGATTCTGGACATGTTGTCGCCCTGTCAAGCTTCTTCTTGCTGCCTTTTCCTCTTTCGAGTGTTTCTTGAGACGCATTTTACTCCTCTTGGAATTCACCTTTGACGTTGTCGATATCGATCAAGTGTTTTATGATCATGATGACATGGATCTTGAATTGAGCGGGATGTGTTATGTGGTGAGCGTGTCGCAAGTTTGCCTAGCATTCGCGCCCAACAGTGCTGACGCCAACGTTGACATCTACGGCAACATACAACTGAGGACACTTGAGGTGATCTATGATGTGCCCGGGGGACAAATTGGGTTTGGCGCCAAGGGTTGTTCCCGAGATGAGCACGGTTGACTTGGGTTGCATTGGGAGTGTTCGGAAGAAGAGGGAATCATTCGAGGTGCTTTACTAGCAGTTGCTTGTTTTGAGGAATAACAATGAATGTCATTCTCTTTGTTATTTCAAGTCGAAAGATGCTACAATCGTGATTGCATGATGTGGTGACTTTTTGTGAGTATTCGTTCTCCATTTGAAGAAGAGATATGATATGTAAATTTATAACGGCAGTGCCATTTTATTGAGTCGTAACGTGATAATCAGAATTATTCGCAAGATCATACCCCTACATCATGCAGCACCTCGTATTCATTTGAAACTTTACATAGCGAGTCTGGTGGTCCATTTCATGGGGTCGCCTAGAAATCAGATCCAATTGAACAAGATGAGATGTTATATCGATTTCTTATATAAACCACAATTTATTTATAGATCAATGATGGCATGGCAAGTATGACATGTCAGGTGATGATGTTCGTATGACGCGGATGCATGAATCCTAGGGCTATGTGTACAAATGTGTAGTCGGACTATAACTTTAATCATGTTGGATGATACAAGATGCATGTTTTGAGATGATAGAATCAAACATTTGGGCGTGGACCGTCATTGAGGACGCACTCGCTCCTGTTGCCCGATTTTTCTATAGTACTAGATTTGGAAAGTTTAAAATAGTTTTTCGTGGAAACATTCATGAACTTTTAAAGTATGTTTATGGAAAACATGAACATACAAGGAACCTAGGGTTGTCGTATTGGATTTCGACTAGGAGTCAATCCGGCTTTAAGTTCAATCTATATTGCGTGCAATTCCGTCATGTTGTGTGGTTGGCATGTTTCGACATATTTGGAAAAATCTCGACATAGTAAGCCCACCAGAGCCAAAGGGGAATCAGCGTGGCCACCCTAGGCCGATTTGCTGTTTTCCATTTTTTTGTGTTCTCATCTGATGTCGTCTAATATCGAGTTCGTTCGGGATTCGCGGGGCATTAAAAATCTTGCCGTGCTTAGTTTCTTTTTATTCGCTCGAATCGCAATATCGACGATGGATGTTATGTTCGTCCCTCTTCCTAAATATCCAGCCTCCGTCGCTGTAGAAATGAAGACCAGGTTTAATGACTTCAAAGACTTGTTTCTTCATAAGTGTGGAAGATTTCACAAATGTGTGTGAAAGAAGAAATTCGATTCGACTGGTTGGGGAAAAGATAGAGGAATCTGCCATTGACTTGAGCTATCTAATCTCGGAAAAGTGAATTGCATATTCATCCATTATAAACCCGACAAAAGACTAGTGACTCGACTCTTAGATGGGAATGACATTATTAACACCAGACGATGCATATCAAAATAGAGATACTTTATGATAAGAATGTCAAACTTCGATAAATTGGATATTGATTGAAAGCTCTCCATGGGGTTTTTTTTATGCATGTCAATGTTGGTCCAAAAATGATCGAACTTGAGAAATCCTACATGAAAAATTGACGTGCCCTCATACGGTTTGTTTCATTTATGATAATGTCTTTCTTCTGTTTTAAATATGATAATGGGATAAACATCCTTTTATTGCTAGGAAAAGTCTGCTCCCCTCTTCGTGAAAATGAGATCTACCGCCCATCAGAATAATCTATCAAGACTCTTACTGATTGTTAAAACACTTAAATAGATGTACATTTTTATGATTTTTCTTATTAAATTTAACGATGTTAATTTTATTGCTTCGACGGATATTATGTTCGCCCCTCTTCCCAAATATGCGGCCTCCGTAGCTGTAGCGATGAAGACTAGATTTAATGACTTTTAAGACTTGTTTCTTCATAAATGTGAGATTTCGTGTATGAGAGAGAAATTTGATTCGTCTGGTTGGGTGAATAATAGAGGAATCCGCCATTGACTTGAGCTGTCTAATCTCGGAAAAGTGAACTGCGTATTCGTCCATTTTAAACCCGACAAAAGTATGGTGACTCGACTCCTAAATGAGAATGACGTCATTAAGATCAGACGATCCATATGAAAATAGGGATACATTATGAATAAGAATGTTAGATTTGGATGAATTGGATATTGATGCTCTTGACGAAAACTATCTAACGACACCCTCTGATTGGGTTTTTTATGCAATTTAATGTTGGTCAAAAAATGATCAAACCTGAGAAATCCTAAATAAAAAATGAAGTGCCTACGTATTTTTTGTCTCATTTTCATATCAAAGTACCGTATGGTTGTGTATGAAATTTTCGACAGCATTAATTACTCAATAGTGATTGATGCGAGCTCTATTATATGATGATTAAAAATTTGTTTTATTTGTTTACTAATTGCTAATCATATTGTATTGAATTAAATGAATAGGCAACTCTGTTGATCTTGTAGGTAAGTTCTTCTTTTTCATTGGGAACCGTTCTTTAATCTATAGTAATAAAGTTTCTCGGATCCAAAGACACGTGCTTGAATTATATTTAAGAGTTTACTAACCTGAGGAAATATACAAAGATGATCATATAACCATAGGGTTGGTGAAATAGGTTGACACGTTGGAGGATTTCCGGCTCGGCAACTGTAGGTCACTCGTACGAAGCCCACCAACTGCGTACAAATTGCTCTAGGTCAAAGGTGTCCACTTAACCGGTTTATGGAACTTGCAGAGTGTTTCACGACCCTGCAAATCATATAATTATTACCAATGTGTTACCAGATAATTTCTTTCTTCCGTTTTAAATATGATAAAGGGATAAACATACTTTTATTGCTAGGAAAGTCCACTCCCCACTTCATGAAAATCGGATCTGCCGCTCATCAGAACAATCTATCAAGACTCTTGTTGATTGTTAAAACACTTAAATAGATATACATTTTTATGATTTTTCTTATTAAATTAAACGACATTGATTTTATTGCTTCGATGGATGTTATGTTTGCCGCTCTTCCTAAATGTCCAGCCTCCGTCGCTGTAGAGACGGAGACAAGATTTAATGACTTTGAAGACTTGTGTCTTCATAAATGTGGAAGATTTATGAAGAGGCACGATGTGTTGGATACGAAGAAGAAATTTGATTCGTTTGGTTGGGGGAAACATAGAGGAATCTGCCATTGACTTGAGCTGTCAAGCTCGGAAAAGTGAATTGCATTCTCATCCATATCAAACCTGATCGACAAAAGACTGGTGACTCGACCCCTAGATGAGAACATATGACCCACATCAAAATAGGGATACTTTATGATCTGAATGAATTATATTTAAGAGGTAACTAAGCTAAGGAAACATATAAAGACAAATTAGAGTCACGGTTCCCACTCCAAAAGGAGGAAGCAAAATGTTCAATTTTCTACCGACCAGACGAATCAAAATTTTCTTCCATATCCATCGAAGCTTGCCTATTTTAGAAATCAACTATATTTACTGAGAAATGAGCTGTCAAAGTCATTAAATGTGGTCCCCATGGCTAAGGAATTGAGGTGGAATGTGCAGACAGAGGGGCGAACAAATCATCTATCGAAGCAATGAAAATGAATATCATTCAATTTAATACGAAAAATCATAAAAATGTATATTTATTCAAGTGCTTTAAGAACCAACAAGAATCTTGGCAGATTATTCGAATGAGTAGTAGACCTCATTTTGAGCTTGGAGGGTACGTGGGGCCCAAATTAAAGAGACTTGAAAATCTTGTTTTACTAGACCACAACGTTTGCCAGAGGCCTATAAGAATGGACATTGGACACACAACCGCAAAAGCATTTCTGTGAGTTGTGAAGGCGACTGATATTACCACGCTAAAGGGAAGAAGAAGAAGATGACGACGGTGGCTTCACCTTGTTTCTCTTTCCTCATCAAGATCTTGCTTTATGTCTCTCTCCTTTGTCTTCTGTGCGTCGTCCATGGAGCTGATGAGATCACCGTCCCAGTCAGCTCTCTTTTCCCTTCTCCCAACTGCAAAGCTTCAACTTCCAATGGTTACTCTCTCTCTCTCTCTCTCTCTCTCTCTCTCTCTCTCTCTCTCTCTCTCTCTACTTATCATAATAATATGAACAATGTCATCAACTCCAGTGTACTTAAACAATTTCCGTTCAAGCTGAACCTTGATTAACCCGAATACTTCTCTTTCTATTCACAGTGAACTCCACCGTGAAGCTGGTTCATAAGCACGGTCCGTGCTCCCCACTTTTCCAGGGCGAACCTGTGAACCACACGCAATTACTGCTTGAAGACATCGCCAGGGTGGAGTGGATTGAATCCAAGTACTCTGGCGCCGACGCCACCAACAGCCCAAAAGACTCAGCCGTCAGCCTCGAGGCCAAATATAGTCCTAACGCCGCAGGCTACTTCGTGACAATAGGTGTTGGCACGCCAAAGCAGGACCTGACCCTCTTGTTTGATACGGGAAGCGCGCTCACGTGGACCCAGTGCAAACCATGTGCTGAGTCTTGCTCTGAGCCAATCTTCGACCCCTCTCGGTCTTCATCCTATGCCAACATCTCTTTCTCTGATCCATCTTGCCTTCTGCTTCGTTCTGGCACTGGTAACCTCTTAGAACTTTTTACCTGTTAGAGATTTTTTTCATCTCGATATTGATTTCAGGTTGCTCCGTGGACCATGCAGGTCATAAACCTCTCCCCAGCGGTTCCACATGCAGTTACAGGGCGACGTATCTTAGCGGAGCCTACTCGGAAGGTTTCTTTGCAACAGAAACTCTGACGTTATCACCAATCGACGCAATCACCCGCTTCAAGTTCGGGTGCGGTCAGAAAAGCGAAAAGATCAAGGGATTTGCTGGACTGTTGGGGCTCGCCCGCGACGAGATTTCACTCTTCGGTCAAAGCGCGACCAAATATGGCCGGTCTTTCTCATATTGCCTCCCCCCTTCATTGAGCTCCACCGGCTACTTAACCTTGGGCACGGGCAGCAGGACATCCGCCTCGGTCAGCTTCACGCCATTAATAACGATCCCAAGGAGGCCACTATTCTACGGCATCAAGATAACAGGAATCAGTGTCGGAGGCAAACAGCTCGATATAGAGGAGACCGTGTTCTCAACTGCTAACACTGTCATTGACTCAGGAGCCACGTTCACGCGATTGCCCACTAAAGCATACGATGCCCTGCGCTCAGCTTTCCGGCAGGGGATGTTGAAATACAAAATGTCCGATCCAACTCCTACCCTCGACACTTGCTATGACTTGCGCGGATCCACCAGCATCACTATCCCAAGGATCAGATTCTCCTTCAGCGGATCAGTTGAGGTCGACTTGGACCCTCGCGGTGTGTTGTTTGGAACCAATGAAAAAATGTGCCTGGCGTTTGCACCGAGCCACCCCAACACGGATCTCAGCATCTACGGGAACGTACAGCAGAGAACATTCGAGGTGGTGTACGATGTGGCTGGAGGGCGGATTGGTTTCCGCGCTAAAGGCTGTTCCTAATCATTGTCTTGGAGCTTCCAACACTAAAGGGGCAGAGGAATTTGCCCGTTATAATGTACTTCAAATAATGTCCTAGACAGTTGAATCGAGGCATGTAACATCTATCGTTGCGTATTTTGAAAACTATGTCGGACAGTAATGATTTGATTTCATCTCTCTTAGTTCGGTGCCTCTCTACTCCGAGGTACTCTGTCTATGTCGGTTTCGTTTTTGATTTCTTTGTTGAATGTCTTGATTTCGGTATTGCTGACTGATTCTCTTGACCATACATCGGAGGATAACAGATACTGTATCAACTATCAAGCCCTGACTTTTGAGCCACAAAATCATCGATTAACATTAAGATTGAGTTAAATGGAAGACAGTGAGTTAGGTACTGTCGTATTGTATATCTTTAATGGAAATTGGGATTTGGTGTGGTATATGCAAAAGCTTTCCCAGTAATATATTTGCTGGGTTGATAATAGGTAAGTCAAGAATTCTCACCTTCTTCAGCAGCTAATTTTCTATGGAAGTAGGGATGCTATTTTTCTAATGTTTAGACGTACTCTTTTTTTGGGGGGGTCAAAGAATGTATTTTGAATCAATGTATTTTGGCTGTCTTTTGTTTGAACTATTTTGCTCTACAAGCTGCAAGCTATTCGACATTTTTTTTTCTTGTAGTTCTGTGCTTGTGTCTTGTTGGGCTGCTATGACATTCTTACATGAACCTGTTATAAACGTGTTATAAATGAGTGGAGATGGTGATGCTCTGTGGTTATCTGTATGTGCTTCTCTGTCCTTTCTCTCTCTCTCTGTTGTTGGTGATGACAATCAACTGGTAAGAAGGGACTGTCCGCGAACACTTTGTTTTTTTATCTCCCCCAATAAGAAAGTAGACACAGAAAATGAAAAAGAGATCGAATCAAACACCGATTCTCTGTTGTTGCGACTTTTGGATGGTTTGTCCATGAGCCTGCGTACTGCACTTCAGTTCTTTAAGGATACAAGGGGCAGGGGGATTCACCTGATGTTGGTAACGTACAATACACTGATTAACGGTTATTATAGGTTCAAAAAGATGGACGAGGCAGAGAAGCTGCTTTGTTGGAATAGATTTGCCTGCAATTGTAGTGATTATAGGTACTGTGTTTTGTTAGTGTCCTTGTCGTGAGCTTGACAGTTGGCCAAGAAGACAACAGAATTAGATGAAGGCTGGGGCAGGGCAAAACACTTGCTGACATTCAAAGTGGTGGGAGCTCTGCTATTCTCTTATGGGTCTAAAATTTATGTCTATGTGTCTTCAACTCTTTTGGAGAAGTAATTCTGCTTCGGTTATGTTTCTCAGAGAGGCATTTGCTGTGGGACACGAAGGTGCGAAGACAAAGTTTGGAATGCACCACTTTGATATACAGGTTTGTCTTTCGCCCATTTTTTGGTTCCGTCTCTTTTTAAGCCATCGCATTATTCTGACATGCTACTCTAGATTGGCGCTGTGCTTCATGACAGGTCCATTGCTGAGACGAAAACATGGGAAAAAAACCCTGGTATCTACTCTAGCAGCATATCTTAATGCTCTGACTGATGAAGGTGTACATGGTATGTCAATGTATAGAAGGATTTGTTGCCATGCAACTGCATGCAGCCAATAAGTCATTGTTCTTCAACAGTAAACTGAAAAACTAGGAAATGGTAGCTTCACAGTGCTTTATTTGTTTCCTGCAAACTGCATGCTAAAAGAAAATGAAGGATAAGGCCCTTTGCTCCTACACAGAAGACAAAAAGGGTGTGGAAAATTGATTGTCAACCAAAACTTAAACATTGTCTGTGGAAATTATGGCATGGAGCATTAGCAACAGCTGACAACTTATATAAAAGAAGAAATGTAGAACCACCAAAACGCATATCCTGCAATGAGCCTGAAACTATCGAGCATCCAATTCTCTGTCTTTGCTGGTGCAAGTGTGTGTGGTTTTGAGCTGCAACATTGAAGTGGAAAGGAGCACAATCCAGACTTTTGACAAATGTTTGCTGCTGCAGATTGACAGGAAAGATTTGACAAAGGATGACCTTGGAGTTGTAGCACTGTTGAGAAGAATTGCCTACACATACCGGCACATATGGGAAGCTAGAAATGCTGTTGTTTGTCAAACGAAGCCTGTTGATCCTGAGGGAGCGATTGCAACAATTGAGAGGTCTTTGAAACAGTTTGTCATATAAGAAAGGAATTCCCCATTTTCTTTGGGGCAACTGCTTGTATCTACTGTTGGGAAGAAACCACCATGGTTGTAGCTACTTCAATTTGTAATGTAAGTTCATGATAGAGCAATTAAATAAATAAAAAATTAAACAGGAAAAGTAAAAGGGTTAGCCGGTTCTAGGGTCCACAGGTTTGATTTCCAATTCCATAAAATCAGGAACCGACCCTGACAAGCTAAGTTTCAGGGGGGCTTTTAGAATCCTGATATGTAACTCATTCATTTTAGAACCGATCACCCCCCTAACAACTAGTAGTCTGACGGTACTAGTAGAAAAGGATGAGGTGATCGGTCATGCCTCTAGCGTGGCCGCGAAGGTTTGGCTTTCAATCGCTTCCAATACAACTCTGGTTGACACTCCCCTGGTTCTTAAATCTCCGTCTGTCATTTCGGGCAAGAAATTGGGCTGAATTTATAAATCTACTTCTAACTCTCCCGTAAAAAGAGCGTTATAAAAAATACAAAAACTTTTACCAAAAGAGCAGTGCGTGCTATTATAAACATACGCTCAAAGGGTTCTCGGCATTAAATAGAATCAAACTTACATTTGGTTATTATAATAAATTAAGCTTATTTATTTACTCATCCCCATCCCCACTCTACCGACTCCTGTCATCAACACTTCTTTGGCATTCTCTAATTTTTTGATCTGCAAATATCTTCAGCTATTCAGAATATTCAAGTGTTACCGTGAAAAGAAAACAAGAGAAAATACCGGTATTTCAGAACGCAAAGTTATTTTGGGTGAAATTGTAATTGGCGTCTTCCTCTTTATCATTTCGCGCATAAATTCGTTACTCACTGGGAAAGAATAGCGTTCGCAAAATCCAATGGCTTAGAGATTTGCCTGTGTATTACACACTTGAGGGCCATTTACAGTGAGGAAGATCTCATGTAAGTAGTTGCACCATCACTCTGAAAGTTTTCGCCTGAACACCCTCAAAAGTGTCATGATTATAGTTTCTTCGCAAACATGTCTGAGAGATTGGCTATGATGGATTCTGAGAAAACTTGAAACGAACAAGCCAGTGAGAATGTCCGAAACAGGCTTCGTCGAACATATTTGCACCAATACCATACAGTTATGAAAGCACAAGCTCAGCTTAAACTTCGGGTTGTATCAAAGGTGACATATGGGCAAGGAACATACACGTACCTGGACGCATCCGACAATGTAAATTTCAGAGAAACGATGGCCTTGAACAAGCATGTCTGCCACCACTGCGAGGGGGATGGCCATGGACATGCCGAGTGTCGTAACCAACGGAGTTGTCCAAACAATCGATAGGGCCCTGTTTCAACATTTTCCGACATTACTCACGAAAGAATGGGGCCACTTATAGATAGAAACCAGTGGCTAATGTTGAGGACAAGAAAATGTGTAACCGCCGATTGGAATTTGGTGAAGTCTATTGGAACTTCTGAACCATTAGTAAAGGGTACGACGTCGTTTATCCATCTCCTACACAAAAAGCATACTGAACTTTATCTAAACCATATTCACCTGTGGTAAGTTGACTGACCCTTCTTGAAACAAGAATGAGCGCGACATACGAAAAGTAATCCAAAAGAACACTCCCCACGGAGCCATTTAAAACCAAGGCTCCACCAACAGATGTCGATGGCGGGAAGCTAAAAGTTTCTGTTATCGAAGCAGTAGAAAAATGTGATGCATTGGGGGGATTCATCAACTAAAATACAAATCATCGAGGAAAGATGTTTGCAGAACCGAAACCGGAAGAGTGGGCTTTAAATTTTTTAGGCACGAAATTGAATGCTAAATCTTTTCAATAACTAAGGTGAGCCAGCCAGCTCGCGTTCCCCCATCCACCCAGATTATTCAAAACCACAGCTTTGTCTCAAAATTCATGCCAATTAACTGTCAAAACTAAATCCAGCTCAATTTTTCCATTGCAGAAGATAAGCAGAATAAGTTTGCTTCAGTTCTGCTTCCGCACCACTCACCAGTTACCAAGCCACCGAAGGCCAAGAAGAGTGAAGAGGCCAATGTATCCGAAAAACTGGTGCACACCGACCTTCTCTCCCTCTGACCCTGCAAACTTCTTTAGCAGCACTGCACAAGACCCAGGCAGTTAAAGACAATGAAAAGAGAGTCAAAGAAGTACTATGAAAATCCTGATTTTGAGGCAGAGATTTTCACCTGTGAACAAACTGTATAATACTGCTGACAGAAGGCCAAAAATGTTCCCCATGATTGTGTGCTTTTTGATCCTTGGCAACAAGAACAGAAGGTATCAGGAAAAACACACAAGATATATCACACAGACATGACGTAATAAAAGGCAAGCATTCAGTTTATTGATGCATGTGAAAAGGTAATTGTTTAGCTGCAATGTGAATTTGTCATAAAAGGTTACAATGGACCATCTTCCAAAAGGAATATAGCGGCTCTTGTGGGGAAATGCAGACTCAACTTTTCCTGCATCCTCAACAAACTCGTTACACACCAAATTAAGTAGAAGAGACATCACTAATATTTTCAAAGAAGTATCAGTTATTTTCACATTCCATGCAGACTCCATATCTTAGTTGTGCAAGTTCCATATCTTTCACTTCATTTGGGGACAAAATTGGTGTACACCAGAGTATGAAAGCTACCAAAGTATTGTTTTTCACAAAAGTTTTAGGATATTGGCATTAGGAAATTCAAATATGTTCTTCTTCTCTGACTAAATAAGGGAAAAAACTTCATCTTGCAAGCAAAACCCTGCTATATCCTCATACTCACTCTGATGCGCTTAAGGACTCATCAGACGCCGAAGTTTCTCCAATTGTGGTCATGGCAACACCAGCCATGCTGATAAAGACAGCGACCACCCTCACGATGCTTATGGATTCCTGGCCGAGAAGAGCT